ACACACACACACACACACACACACACACACACACACACACGTGCACGGCGGCGTGCTGAGCCTGACTCTGAGGCAGCTGGAGCTGGAGAGCTGAAGGTTGTCAGGAGACATGGCGAAGCATGTGTGTGTTTCTCACACAAAAGAGCCTCTCTAATTGTTTGGGATTCATTAATGCAGCAGCTTTTCAATCGCAACCCAAGCTGTCAGGACAAAAAAAAAAAAAGAAAAAGAAAAAGAAAGAGCACGCTGGGAGAGAGGTGCGTTCACGCCGGCTGCAAAATAACTGCATAATTAATAGGGTTTGTGGTTGTGAGCGGCACGGCCACGTTCAGGAGGGCTCTGCAACACGTAGAGGAGACAAACGCTTCCTTACCCGAGGTGTTCAGGGTGGATCCCAGCGCCGACGGGCTCGGGGCCAGGCCGCTCTTGGAGTGGGGGGCGGGAGACGAGGAGGAGGAGGAGGAGGAGGAAGAGGAGGAGGAGGAAGAAGAAGAGGCCGCGGGGGAGGAGGTGCGAGCAGCAGACAGGGTGGGCGCAGGGGAGGCCAGCCGCTCTCCAGACTCCATATCTGTCAAACACAATCCAATCAGCAGGGTTACAACAGCAGAAACACACACCTACACACACCTACACACACTCACACACACACACACACACACACACTTTTCCTTTCACATCTCACTTCCCCTGAACAATCTTTCTGTTTTAGCCACGCTCGCCGGCTCCCAGCTGTATTGATAGAAAGCGGGGTACGGCAGCGCAGGATGACATGTCGGAGGACTCCGCTAACYGACGGCGGGTTCTGAGGAGGTGTTCCTGAGCGGAACGGAACCGAAGCCGGAGGCGTCGGAGGGGAGGGGAGGCTTCAGGAGCCAAACAGATAAATAACACGTTTGTCACTTCACTGTTGGCGTCCCTCAGATCGAGCCGTTTCCTCCGGTGTCGGAGCTTTCTGCCTTGATAGTCTTGAGATTTCTCTGCACAGACTGACGGACGCCCTGAACCAGAACAGGCTGGAAAAAGGTGGCTGATCAGTCRGGCTCTCAGCTGCAGAATATTTCAGATTATTTGCAGGTGAACCTCTTCAGATTTAAATTTGGACTCACTTTCGGCTGTTTTTGACACTTCGGTGGTTTAAAAGTCCTTCAGCGGTCCAGTTGGTGTGTCAGAAAATCTAAATTAGTCAGGACAGAGACTGAAGTACAACCCCTCCCCCGCAGGATTCCACAAAATGTAAATAAAAACAAATGATTTGCAAATTAACACAATTTATTCACATTGTTAACCAATCAACTGCTGAAACTAAGAAACTGTTTTCATGAAAAAAATAAGATAATTTTGTAATTAATTAAGTTTAGTGATGCTATATCCTCAGCCTCTCTAATGGTATGGGGGTGCATTTGTGTCTCTATGAGCAGCTGGTACACCTGGAAGTGTCCACAGGTTTTTAAACATCTGCTCCCACCTGGACGACTGTTGGTTTCAGCAAGACCACAAACTGCATCCATTACAACAAGAAGAGTCCAGTCCTGCAGTCCAGACCCCCAAAACCAACTGAAACCATATGATGGATTAAGATCCAGGACTCAAAAACCCCCAGACCTGGTCTCCTCAGGTCCTGTAAAACCTCCAGACCTGGTCTCCTCTGGTCCTGTAAAACCTCCAGACCTGGTCTCCTC